GGTGGGGGGACACGACAGAGGGGAGGGAAAGGGGAAGTGGAGCAGGATAAGGGGGGGAAAGCCAGACCCTAAGAGAGGGGCTTCACTGTCCCGTAAGGAAGGTGGGCCTCCGCGACCTGAGGAGCGTGAGCAACCACTGCGCCACACTGACAATAGTTTGGGGAAGAGAACAGTTTTCGTGCCTGGTTTTCCGACCCTCGCCATACTTGGGCTGCTTATAAAGTAGCCCGAGTTGCCCTTGTGCCAAAAAGGGGTTGAGACAGAGGCCAGTGTTTTCCTTCAGTTTTCTTTTTAATGGAGTATAATTGGCACATAACATTATATTAGTTTCAGGTGTATGGCCTGTGCTTTTTGGGTGATAACTTTCTGACACACATGGGACGTAGCCACGCAATTTGATATCCTGACATTTCTATGAAGCCACTAAGGCTGCTCTGCTGTTTGTCGCCCGCAGTAAGAGATGCTTTCTACAATGGGATCCAGAATGCACGTGCAAGCGCCTGCACACACCCGCACCTTTGTAGGTTTCACTCTCTTCTGAATCCCCAGTGCCTGGCACATAGTAGGTGCTCAACAGGTAACTATTGAATGAACGAGTGACTGAGTGAGTGAATGAATGAATTTGTAGATATACTGTTGACATGAAAGTTTCATAAAACAATACTTATCTTACTATTTGCATTCTATTTTTTTAATAGTTCTCAGGATCTTTTTTTTTTTTTTTTGGACAAGCTTTTCTTTATTTTTTTAATCCTTACCTGAGGATATTTTTTCCATTGCTTTTCAGAGAGTGGGAGGGAGAGAGGGGAAAAAAAAAAAATCAATGTGAGAGAAACACATTGATTGGTGGCTTCCCACACCCACCCTGGCCTGGGCCGGGGATGGAGCCTACAACTGAGGGGCATACTCTTGGTGAGAATCGAACCCAGGACCCATCAGTTCCCAGGCTGACACTCTAACCACTAAGCCTAACCAGCTAGGCCAGGATCTGTTTTTTCAAATATGTTTTTATTGATTTTAGGGAGAGAGGAAGGGAGAGGGAGAAAGCAAGAGAGAGAGAAAAACATCAATGTGAGAGAGGAACATCGATTGGTTGCCTCCTGAACCCACCCCAACCAAGGATTTAACCTGCAACCTGGGCATGTGCCCTGACTGGGAATCGAATTGGCCACCTTTCACGTCATGAGATGATTCTCAACCAACTGAGCCACACCTCCCAGGGCTACTCTCATTCTATTTCATGACCAACTAAATTGAATTTCCTGATCCATTAATCCGTCACAAATCAAAGCTTGAAAACACTGTCATGAAGCCCCAGTCTTGGCAGGGACATAGTTTTAGTTCGGAGATATAGGCAAGAGCTTGGCAAATAGATTATCAACTGCCTGTCAAGGTTCCCCAACTGCCACCCAGGGACAGAGGGAGTCTCACTGGCCACCCACCTCGACTGAACTGACTCCAAGTTTCAAGTTACAACCCCCAACCCCTCGCACTCGCAAGACAGGACAGAAAACAAGAGGCATCCTCTGCTTCCTGTTCTTTCTAACTATTTGAAAGCCAACATTTTAATTTACCAACATTCAACATATACTTGGACTATTTCTTAAGTTTCCATATTGTCTCATTACTTTTTTGTTGGGGTTTTTCCAACAGGATTTTGGTTATAAAATCCTGTTTTATTTGGTTGATTTTTATTTTGGGGGTGGGGTGTGTATACGTCAGGCACAGACAGTTAGGTTAGTCAATTTCTGAGTTTATAACACCCAGTCTCCCTCTGCAATCTGAGAAAGACCTCTCTCTTGTTTTATTACTTTCCCTCCCCCACCCTGTTTCCCCACACCAATTCCTCCACTCACCACAGGCAGTCAGAATGGTGTGTTTGCTGTATATGACAGTCTCCAAAGAGAGCAGCCATCAACTTCTCCCCTCCCTGTGTGTGCAGGTCACACCACCCACCCAGAGGCAGAGTCTATTCCCCTCCCTTGAATCCAGGCTGACCATGTGACTTGCTTTGACCAATAGAAAGTGCTTGAAGTGACACCCTGCCAGTCCTGGGCCTAGACTTTAAGACCTGGAAGCTTCAGTTTTCACTCTTGGAATCCAGACACCATGCTATAAGGAAGTCCAGTTGTTATGAGAGAGAGGGAGGGAGAGAGAGAGAGAGAGAGAAAGAGAGAGAGGGAGGCCCCATGGAGAGGCCTGGAGGGAGGGAGACTGAAGGGGGGCTGTTAAGACACAATATGGAGAGAAAGGGAGAGGGAGAGAGACCACACAGAGGAGCATGAGGCCCTGGACATGTGAGCAAAGCCTTCTGAGAGCTTCCAGAGCAGCCCAGCCAGTAGCTAAATGCATCCAAGCATGTAACACAGCCAATACCACACGGTCCACTTGGCCTAGCCCTGCCCAAATTTCTGTGTGACTGTATTTGGAGATAAGGCCTTTAAGGGAGTAATTAAGGTCAAATGAGGTCACAACAGTGGGGCCCTAATCCAATAGGATTGCTGTCCTTATAAGAAGAGAAAAAGATATCAAGAGTGCACACACACAGAGGAAAAGCCATGTGAGGACATAGAGAGAAAACAGCTGTTTACAAGCCACAAGGAGAGGCCTCCCCAAAAATCAGCCCTCCCAGTACATTATACTTAGGCTTCTAGCTTCCTAAACTACAAGAAAATAAATGTCTGCTGTTTAAGACACCCAGTCTGTGGTATTCTGTTATGGCAGCTCAAGCAAACTAATGCACTGGGCAAAGAGACAAAATTTTAAAATTGGACATATGAAAAGATTCAGCAAGTCAAAAACTGGAAATAAATCAGAAAAAATATCCTCTTGAAATAGATTTAGCAGCAATATACTGGATAGCTTATTTGCTAAATGAATTAAACTTGCTTCTACAAAACCAGAGCAGGAAATCAAACAAAAGGAAAAATTGATAACAGAAAAGCAATTTGGGGGTGTAACATGACGATGGATAATTTTAAAACACAACAGAGGATTTGAAGAGCCAACTGTTAACAGCAGGAAACGGAATCAATGATGTCGTACAAGACAGAAATGGTAACTTCTCCCCAAACTCAAAGCTAAAGGAAAGAGATCTGTGCACCCATATTCATAGCAGCATTATCCACAACAGCCAAAGGAAGCAGCTCCAGTGTCCAGTGATGAATGAATGGATAGGCAAAATGCGCTACATAAGTAATGAAATATTATTCAGCCTTAAAAAGCAGAAAATTCTGGCACATGCTACAATACAGATAAACCTTGAGCAAATTATGCTAAGCGAAGAAGCCATCCACAAATAGACAAATACTGTATGTTCTACTTATATGAGGTACCTAGAGCAGTCACATTCATAGAAAATAGGAGTTGGGGGTGGATATGGGTGGGGAGTTATCATTTCATTGGCATAAAGTTTCAGGTTAGCAAGATTAAAAGGTTCTGGAGATGGATGGTGGTGATAATTGCACAATATGTACTTAATGTCATCAAACTGTGCACTTAAAAATGGTTATAAAACAGAATATGGAGAATGAGTTCTCAGGCTTGGGGGGGGGGGAATTGGGAGAAAAATCCAATGAGTTTACTAATGATTTGGAAGAAAAGGTTATCTTGGGACTATGTCCAACAGAGGAAGAAACAGTAGAGCTTCTAAGCAAAGTCCTTATGATAACAAGCTGGCACCTGAAGCATTAGCCAAGGTTGTTCATTG